GTCGTTGGAAGTCTTCAAGTCGCGGCTCAGACAAACGTTTGAACCGCCTAGAGCTGAGTTCAGAGCTCGAACCGAACTCTTGAAGCTCAAGCAGGGTAAGCGTGATGTGCACGCTTACGCTCAACATATACGACATCTCACGAGTTGTATAAGTTCCAATCCGGTGGATGAACACACGTTGGTTTCTGGTGTTCATGCAGGGTCTTGCGGATGGTCCCGTCAAGACTCACCTGTTCCGGCTTGAACTAGATTCACTAGAACAAGCCATTTCAATTGCGGAGCAGGAAGACTTCAGTCTGAGACAGGCTCGCGCCAGCTCGACATCATATCGTCAACCGAGACGATATGACAACGGAGGTCCAGAGCCGATGGAACTCTGTTATGTAGAGAGCGAGAAGGCTCGCTCTACAGGCTACAAGAAGTTGCAGAGATGCAACAGATGTCAAAAGACAGGACACTACGCTTACGAGTGTAGTGCCCCTCGTCCAGTGTCTCGCGACACTGGGCGTAGTGACCGTCCACCCATGAGAAAGGGGCAGGGACGAGGGTCCGCAGTTGGTGCAAAGACGCAACAACGGGATGGACCGTCAAAAAACGGACAGGATCAGTAGGGTGCGGCGCACCTACTGATCCAGCAACGTCAAGAGAATTTGTAGGCCTCTTGATGAAGGTTGCTCCCAACACACAGACATTGTGCGTTGCTGCTCTAGGTAATGAGATCTCACTCATTACCTTGAAACTCGAAGTGACGAATAAGTTGTCCCTTCGAGCTCTAGTCGATTGTGGGGCGTCCAACAATTTTGTGCGACGCCAATCGCTAGAAGATGGTCACTTTAAATTCAGTGAATGTGACACACCTCCTACGAGGATGACGGTACGTCTTGCGACAGGCGCATCCGTAACCGTCATGAAGCGTATAGTGAAGATTCACTATACGCTAGAAAATACCCAATACGACGATGACTTTATCGTATTGGATTTGGATGACAAATTTGATGTCATCCTTGGAATACCGTGGCTCAGAAGGTACGAACCACGGGTAAACTGGCAACATCGGACAGTAACGATGCCTGCCGCTTGTTCATCAGATGGCCATCTGATGAACGTTTTGGAGCGTCCACAAGCGTGTGGATGTACTACGAGTGAGTGCGATGGCCTCACTTGTGGTACGGTCGTTAGTACGACTGCACAAAACCTTAGTGTACCAAACGGTTACACTTCGGAGCAAAGTTCCGGCGGCTGTGAGGAAACACAGGCTGCGCCGAAGGTCCACCACTCGAATAAGTCGGGTGGACTGGGACAAAGATGTATCCCTAGAGGGGAACATCTAGAAGAGAAACAATCGATCGCTCAGGTTAAGCGAAACGATAATCCTAGATCGACTGGAGAGTCTTTCGTAGAGGATCTCGCTGTGGTTGCGCAACCCCAGCTAGAGGAAGTAAAGGGAATAAGTCCCAAGATTACAAATACGGCGGAAATAAGTTCCCCGAAACCCGCGGGAATAAGTCCCCGGGAAGACGAAGGAATAAGTCCTTCGAAGCCTGAGGGAATAAGTCCCCAGGAAATGACAGAGACATTGAATGTCATAGTCAATAACGGATCATGTGTAGGCGCTTATACACTTGATCTGATTGCGCCTCCGAAGTTAACTTCGGAGATCACTCAGTTGCCAACGCTCGAACATAAAAGGTTCTTGCGTGATCTGCGTAGTGGCAAAGTCAAGCAGATCTGCATACTCGTCGCTGACGACGAGTATGTAACCGACATAAGGTCAGCAACAGTGTTTACTGAGAACGAGAGAGTTCTCAGTAGTTCATCTATGGACGAGAGTGTCCTAGATGAAAAGACACGAATTGAGCGATATGAGTCCCAATCATGGGAATCGCTCAAGGAAAATCCTCTCTATGAAGATTTGGTTGAATTCAAGGATGTATTCCCTGAAACTGTTCCGTGCGAATTACCGAAGGATAAAGGTATTCGACACGAAGTCGAGCTTAAACCAGGCTCGAAGTACTGTGTCATGAAGCAGTGGCCACTGCCTCGTGAACAAGTACTTGCGATCGACAAGTTCTTTGCCGATCGTTTAGCAGCGGGCCATGTGAGGGAATCAACTTCCCCACATAGCTCTCCGACCTTCTGTGTGCGAAAAGCAACAGGAGGGTGGCGGATAGTGCACGCGTTTAACAAATTGAACGCTGCAACGGTACCGGCTCAGACGCCGATACCGAGGAAGGACGTAATCATTGATGGTATGTCAAAGAGTACCATCTTTTCGTCCATGGATTTGATGGATGGCTTCTATCAAATCCTAATGCGGGAACGGGATATACCCTATACCGCAGTTAGCACGCCTAGCGGCATGCTCTGGGAATGGCTAGTAATGCCACAAGGGCTCAGTAATGCCCCTGCCACGTTCAACAGATGTGTATCACATCTGTTGAGACCAGTACGAGTTCGCGCCGAGTTATTTCGATGACGTATTCATCCATAGTCGAGCTATGGATGGAAAGTCGGACGTTGAGGTTCACAGGTACCACGTCCGACAAGTTCTTACAATCATGCGAAAGCATCAATTGTATGCAAACCTCAAGAAGTGTATATTTGCAGCAAGCGAAATACCACTTCTTGGGTGCATCGTTGGTAAGAACGGTGTACGTCCTGATCCCGAAAAGATCAAGGCGATCACCGACTGGCCTGTGCCGGTCGATGTCAAAGGTCTTCGAAAATTCCTTGGGCTAGCGGCGTATTTGCATAAGTATTCACGCAATTACGCCGAGATGACTGTACACCTCTCTCGTTTGTTGAAAAGAACGAGAGGTGGTTATGGAACGCTGAATGTCAACGCTCCTTTGAGGGTATCAAGCAGAGCTTGATACAATCCCCAGTCCTAGCAATAGCCGATCAGGACAGGCCATTTCATGTGGTCTGTGATGCCAGCGATTTCGCAATCGGCTGTGCATTAATGCAGTACGACCTTGAAGGCGTTGAACGCGTCGTCTGCTATCAGTCGCGTCAGCTGCAACCAGCTGAGCGGAACTATCCAGTGCATGACAAGGAACTCCTTGCCATGAAGTATGCACTCGCGAAGTTCAGAGTCTATCTATTAGGAGATAGACCCTTCGTTGTTTACACTGACCATGCGTCCTTACGCACGGCAGTGAACAGCCCGCACCTTTCACAACGAATGGCGCGGTGGTTGTCATTCTTTGCAGAATACAACTTTACGGTCGAGTACAAACCAGGACGACTTAATGTCGTCGCTGATGCACTCTCACGTCGTCCCGACTTTGAAACAGTCGCGAAACCCAACAGTGAGACAGTCACTGTTGCGGTTATGACGTCCTCAGTCCCATCTACAATGTTGTATGATGATGTGAGGCGGGCATACGCCCAAGATGGTGAGATAGTGAAGTTGTTGTCACATCTCTCCCAACCATCCCGAGAATCGTTGAAACGATTGTCGTCTGCGTATCGATCTGCATCAGATCGATACACTACTCGTAACGGTTTACTGTACTATACAGCCGTTTCTGGTGACACACCACGTGTTGTCATTCCAGATGATATTGATCTGCGTTTGCGGATCATGTTCGAGTATCACGATGCTCCTATAGGAGGACATCGTGGCCGAGAGAAAACATATCTCACGGTAAGTCGAGACTTTTACTGGCCCCGCCAGTATCAGTTTGTGCGAAAGTATGTTCGCGCATGCGAAGTCTGCCAACGAGTGAAGTCAAGTCCTTCACTGCGTGCACCTTTACAGCCTCTACCGGTTCCGGCTGAGTGCTGGGAATCCATCTCAATGGATTTCGTCTTCGGGTTACCCAAAGACGCACGCGGGAATACGGGTATTCTCGTATTTGTTGACAGATTCAGCAAAATGGTACACCTTGTGGCTGTACCAGAGACAATCACGGCAAGTGGCTGTGCTTGTGTCTTTATTGACACCATCTTCCGACTTCATGGGTTGCCCCGTGAACTCGTATCAGACAGAGATCCACGATTCACTGCTGATTTCTGGCGTTCCGTGTTCAAATCACTCGGAACGCGCTTGAAGATGTCGACATCTGATCATCCAGAGTCAGATGGTCAGACGGAACGTGCCAATCGTGTCCTTGAAGAGATACTTCGAGGATACGTACACTCCTTTAAGAGTTGGAGTGAGTTTTTGCCAATGGTAGAGTTTGCCATCAACAACTCGGTGCATGCGTCCACGACACATACACCGTTTTACGTGAATGGCTTGCGCCATCCGCGTGTACCCACCTTACTAGAGTGTAACTCTGGTTTAAGGGGGGAGGGACTCGCGCGAGCAAAAACCGATTTGGTTCACGCTCATCACGCTCTGACGAAGAAGTCATTGCGTTTGATGCCGATATCGATAACATCGATATCGAAGAAGATGATGCCAGTGAGAGTGCGGAAGCCCTCACTGAAGACAATGATCCCAGTGAGAGTGCGGGAAGCCCTCACTGAAGAAAAGGTTGTTGTTGCTGCAGTGCGCTCACAGCACACTGAAGCTAACGAGTCATCAGATGAGTTCATACTGGCTCGTGAAACGGTAGTCCGTTTTTGTGCAAGACTCCATCGCCGAAGCGGTGGATAAGCAAAAGCAAAACGCTGACAAGAATGGAAGGGCAAACACTCTTTTATTTAATAAAGGTGACTTAGTCCTACTGTCTACGGTTAATCTACCAAAACATGTAGTGACTAACTTGGGTAGCAGTAAACTACTACCCAAGTACATTGGCCCATTTCGTGTATTGCACCGCCTAGGCAATGCATACACGATCGAGTTACCACGTAAGATGCGAACGCATCCCACGTTTTACGTTGGTCGGCTTAAGCCGTACCATCAGTACGCTGCTTCTTCCGATGAAGAACGCCCTTGCGCTCAAGCATCTCGCAGAGAGCCTTGTGCTCCCGATGGTGGGCATCAACAAGGGTCTGAAGAGCAGTTATCTCAGCCCGAGACCGATCAACAATCCCACGAGCTACCCTTAGCTCGTCACGAGAGATGTCAGAGATCTCTCGTTCTCAAGCTGAGCAAAGGCAAACTCAGCTCGATGCTTCGAGGCAGTGTCCACCATCTGGAGACGCCTATTCCGCTCATGCTCGAGATCGTCGCGTAACCCTTGCGTTACGCGATCAAAGAAGCTCTCGGGAACACACCGATCCACATGATCGTGTGGAGAGCGTCTTTCCTCCTCCTCCACCTCCATTAGAGGACTCTCGCGGTGGCCAGCGCTATCTAGTAGAGCAGCTGTTGAACCACCGCGACGTGAACGGACGTCGGACGAGTTACCTCGTCCGGTGGCGCGGCTATCCCCCGTCCTGGGATTCTTGGGAGCCCCGCTCCCAATTGATGGTTGACGTACTGGGTCTGGTCGAGCAGTACGACGCGACACATCCTGTGCCGCAGAAGGACCGCCGGAGAAAGTCTTCCCGGCACGGTCGTAAAGGGATTTCAGGTTGTCAATCCCTTCGTACATCTCAGTAGAGACACGTACGCGCCACCACGGGCTGGTAAGGAGGTAAGCCTCCTTAGGTGCTCGTGCAGAGTTGTTCACACAACATGGGCACGAGTCTCCCCAAGAGAGGCAGGGTAATCCTTTCTCCCTTGACAGACGATGCAGCTTATAGCGTGCACCTGTCGGGGTTCGCTTTTCAAACTTATCACGAGCTTTGATAAGTTTGTCGTTCCAAGCGTCACGACCTACATCCTCGAGATTATGGATGTAGGCGTTCCACGCCTGAAGTAGTGAGGGACCATCACGTTTGTGATTCCCACTGTACCATCGATGTCTGAAGAAAGCATCGATGAAGAACTCATGTTCAGCGCGATAGTCTTTCGCGCTGGGGTCAAGTGATGGATCCTTGACGAATCGAACAATCGTGTTCGATAACGATCACTCGTCGTCGCCGACAAGTGATCCATGACGAATTTAGGAGGCATCCATGCCTTCTTTTCTGGAGCGAGACGCAACACATTGCGGTCCCGCTCTTCCTGCGACGTGCCGACAGAAGTACTGGCACCTCGCTGTGAAGTGGTGTCCATAGGAGAACCGACACCACTATTAGCGCCCGAGTCTCGCGACCTCGAGCGCCTTCGCTTCGGCGATGGTTCATCTGACTCATCAGATGAACCAAAGATGCTGCGACGCAAAGCATCGTCCATGCCACGCTTGGCAGGCGGCTTGGATTCAATTGCCGTCGATACGGATCCGTCATCCGTATCAGGAGAGTACGAGACACCGAGCTCGTACTCTGTGAAGACACGAGTGTCTTCATGACCAGCGCCTGCATCACCAGGTGATACAGGCTGAGTCGATTCAGCAACCGATGGGACATCAGTTGCTGTAGTTTCTGCTTCGGCGTCCGCACAGAGACGTGCAGACGCGCTCTCGGCGGCCTTGCTCGCGCATCGCATGGGCTTGTTTACCATGCGATGAGATGTTGGAAAGTGGACGCGGACCAACAAGTGCAAACCCCGTCCCAAATGATTTGGGACGAGTATCCATTTAGTCAATCAGTCACTAAAGTGACTGATGGTTAGGGGGGTGATGTAACGGGGTGAATCGTTACATAACAATTTATAAGAAATTGTTAATAGAATATAACTATAAGAGTTATATTCTCAGAATATTGTCATAAGGACAATATTCGGTAGCACTTCCAAGTAGTTCCTAATTGGTTGATATAGGCCATTATATCAACCAACGAAGACGCGCCACGACAGACGCACGCAATGAGTGGTGAGCAGATAACTGATTTACACATTTGTATTTAGACATAGTTAGATGAAGATAAATAGTGATTTATTGCAGACATTAACTATTATAAATACAGTTCTACTTTTTACTCTAACCGAGTACTCGCTTCTTCTTACCGTCTTCCTCTGCACGTACGAGTGTACGTGAAGTTACGAGGCACCGCCTTATTCTGTTATCAGAATAAGTAGCTTGTACTGTCACCAGTACAAGCTTCAGGGTGCCCCGTTACAATTTGAAGACTTGATTTTTAGCATCTGCCATCGGCTTCGTATCAACCCCGCTCAGTTATATTCTCCTATTGGCCTCTCTTGTAGAGATTCGTCCCTAATATCCACGCGACTTGTCACTGTCACCAGCAGTGAATGATGGGCTAAACGCAGTTTATAAATTCTACGTGGGTACGAAAACTGTAACGGGGTGAATCGTTACATAACAATTTATAAGAAACTGTTAATAGAATATAACTATAAGAGTTATATTCTCAGAATATTGTCATATGGACAAATATTCTGTAGCACTTACGAGTAGTTCCTAATTGGTTGATATAGGCCATTATATCAACCAACGAAGACGCGCCACGACAGGCGCACGCAATGAGTGGTGAGCAGATGGTTGATATACAATTTGTTTTTGGACATAGTTAGATGAGGATAAACAGTGGTTTATTGCAGACATTAACGATTGTAAACACATTACTACTTTTTACTTTAACCAAGTGCTCGCTTCTCCTTACCGTCTTCCTCTGCACGTACGAGTGTCCGTGAAGTTACGCGGCACCGCCTTATTCTGTTATCAGAATAAGTAGCTAGTACTGTCATCATTACAAGCTTCAGGGTGCCCCGTCACTCCTGGTAGCACTTTGTAGTCTGTAACGGGGCACCCTGAAGCTTGTACTGGTGACAGTACAAGCTACTTATTCTGATGACAGAATAAGGCGGTGCCTCGTAACTTCACGGACACTTGTACGTGCAGAGGAATACGGTAAGGAGAAGCGAGTACTTGGTTAAAGTAAAAAGCAGAACTGTATTTATCATAGTTAATGTCTGCAATAAATCACAATTTATCTTCATCTAACTATGTCTAAATACAAATGTGCATATCAGTTATCTGCTCACCACTAATTGCGTGCGTCTGTCGTGGCGCGTCTTCGTTGGTTGATATAATGGCCTATATCAACCAATTAGGAACTACTTGTAAGTGCTACAGAATTTTTGTCCTTATGACAATATTCTGAGAATATAACTCTTATAGTTATATTCTATTAACAATTTCTTATAAATTGTTATGTAACGATTCACCCCGTTACATCACCCCCACCTTAATCATCAGTCACTTTAGTGACTGATTGACTAAATGGATACTCGTCCCAAATCATTTGGGAAAGGGTTTGCACTTGTTGGTCCGAGTCCACTTCCCAATATTTCATCGCATGGTTAACAAGCCCATGCGATGCGCGAACAAGGCAGCCGAGAGCGCGTCTGCACGTCTCTGTGCGGACGCCGAAGCAGAAACAACAGCAACTGATGTCCCATCGGTTGCTGAAGCGACCCAGCCTGTGTCACTTGGTGATGCAGGCGCTGGTCATGAAGACACTCGTGTCGTCAAAGAGTACGAGCTCGGTGTCTCGTACTCTCCTGATGCGGAAGAGGGATCCGTATCGACGGCGATCGAATCCAAGCCGCCTGCCAAGCGTGGCATGGATGATGCTTTGCGTCGTAGCATCTTTGGTTCATCTGATGAATCAGATGAACCATCGCCGAAGCGAAGGCGCTCGAGGTCGCGAGACTCGGGCGCTAATAGTGGTGTCGGTTCTCCTATGGACACCACTTCACAGCGAGGTGCCAGTACTTCTGTCGGCACGTCGCAGGAAGAGCGGGACCGCAATGTGTTGCGTCTCGCTCCAGAAAAGAAGGCATGGATGCCTCCTAAATCAGTCATGGATCACTTGTCGGCGACGACGAGTGATCGTTATCGAACACGATTGTTCGATTCATCAAGGATCCATCACCTTGACCCCAGCGCGAAAAACTATCGCGCTGAACACGAATTCTTCATCGATGCTTTCTTTAGACATCGATGGTACAGTGGGAATCACAAACGTGATGGTCCCTCACTACTTCAGGCGTGGAACGCCTACATCCATAATCTCGAGGATGTAGGTCGTGACGCTTGGAACGACAAACTTATCAAAGCTCGTGATAAGTTTGAAAAGCGAACCCCGACAGGTGCCCGCTATAAGCTGCATCGTCTGTCAAGGGAGAAAGGATTACCCTGCCTCTCTTGGGGAGACCCGTGCCCATGTTGTGTGAACAACTCTGCACGAGCACCTAAGGAGGCTTACCTCCTTACCAGCCCGTGGTGGCGCGTACGTGTCTCTACTGAGATGTACGAAGGGATTGACAACCTGAAATCCCTTTACGACCGTGCCGGGAAGACTTTCTCCGGCGGTCCTTCTGCGGCACAGGATGTGCCGCGTCGTACTGCTCAACCAGACCCAGTACGTCGATCATCAGTTGGGAGCGGGGCTCCCAAGAATCCCAGGACGGGGGATAGCCGCGCCACCGGACGAGATAACTCGTCCGACGTCCGTTCACGTCGCGGTGGTTCAACAGCTGCTCAACTAGATAGCGCTGGCCACCGCGAGAGTCCTCTAATGGAGGTGGAGGAGGAGGAAAGACGCTCTCCACACGATCATGTGGATCGGTGTGTTCCCGAGAGCTTCTTTGATCGCGTAACGCAAGGGTTGCGCGGCGATCTCGAACATGAGCGGGACAGGCGTCTCCAAATGGCGGACATTGCCTTGAAGCATCGAGCTGAGTTTGCCTTTGCTCAGCTTGAGAACGAAAGATCTTTGACATCTCTTCGTGACGAGCTAAGGGTAGCTCGTGGGATTGCTGATCGGTCTCGGGCTGAGATAACTGCTCTTCAGACCCTTGTCGATGCCCACCATCGGGAGTACAAGGCCCTCTGTGAGATGCTTGAGCGCAAGGGCGTTCTTCATCGGAAGAAGCAGCGTACTGATGGTACGGCTTAAGCCGACCAACGTAAAATGTGGGATGCGTTCGCATCTGACGTGGCAACTCGATCGTGTATGCGTTGTCTAGGCGGTGCAATACACGAAATGGGCCAATGTACTTGGGTAGTAGTTTACTGCTACCCAAGTTAGTCACTACATGCTTTGGTAGATTAACCGTAGACAGTAGGACTAAGTCACCTTCATTGAATAAATGAGTGTTTGCCCTTCCATTCTTGTCAGCGTTTTGCTTTTGCTTATCCACCGCTTCGGCGATGGAGTCTTGCACAAAACGGACTACCGTTTCACGAGCCAGTATGAACTCATCTGATGACTCGTTAGCTTCAGTGTGCTGTGAGCGCACTGCAGCAACATCAACCTTTTCTTCAGTGAGGGCTTCCGCACTCTCACTGGGATCATTGTCTTCAGTGAGGGCTTCCGCACTCTCACTGGCATCATCTTCTTCGATATCGATGTTATCGATATCGGCATCAAACGCAATGACTTCTTCGTCAGAGCGTGATGAGCGTGAACCAAATCGGTTTTTGCTCGCGCCAGTCCCTCCCCCCCTTAAACCAGAGTTACACTCTGGTAAGGTGGGTGCACGCGGATGGCGCAAGCCATTCACGTAAAACGGTGTATGTGTCGTGGACGCATGCACCGAGTTGTTGATGGCAAACTCTATCATTGGCAAAAACTCACTCCAACTCTTAAAGGAGTGTACGTATCCTCGAAGTATCTCTTCAAGGACACGATTGGCACGTTCGGCCTGACCATCTGACTCTGGATGATCAGATGTTGACATCTTCAAGCGCGTTCCGAGTGATTTGAACACGGAACGCCAGAAATCAGCAGTGAATCGTGGATCTCTGTCTGATACGAGTTCACGGGGCAACCCATGAAGTCGGAAGATGTTCCTAATAAAGACACAAGCACAGCCACTTGCCGTGATTGTCTCTGGTACAGCCACAAGGTGTACCATTTTGCTGAATCTGTCAACAAATACGAGAATACCCGTATTCCCGCGTGCGTCTTTGGGTAACCCGAAGACGAAATCCATTGAGATGGATTCCCAGCACTCAGCCGGAACCGGTAGAGGCTGTAAAGGTGCACGCAGTGAAGGACTTGACTTCACTCGTTGGCAGACTTCGCATGCGCGAACATACTTTCGCACAAACTGATACTGGCGGGGCCAGTAAAAGTCTCGACTTACCGTGAGATATGTTTTCTCTCGGCCACGATGTCCTCCTATAGGAGCATCGTGATACTCGAACATGACCCGCAAACGCAGATCAGTATCATCTGGAATGACAACACGTGGTGTGTCACCAGAAACGGCTGTATAATACAGTAAACCGTTACGAGTAGTGTATCGATCTGATGCAGATCGATACGCAGGCGACAATCGTTTCAATGATTCTCGGGATGGTTGGGAGAGATGTGACAACAACTTCACTATCTCACCATCTTGGGCGTATGCCCGCCTCACATCATCATACAACGTTGTAGATGGGACTGAGGACGTCATAACCGCAACAGTGACTGTCTCACTGTTGGGTTTCGCGACTGTTTCAAAGTCGGGACGACGTGAGAGTGCATCAGCGACGACATTAAGTCGTCCTGGTTTGTACTCGACCGTAAAGTTGTATTCTGCAAAGAATGACAACCACCGCGCCATTCGTTGTGAAAGGTGCGGGCTGTTCAATGCCGTGCGTAATGACGCATGGTCAGTGTAAACAATGAAGGGTCTATCTCCTAATAGATAGACTCTGAACTTCGCGAGTGCATACTTCATGGCAAGGAGTTACTTGTCATGCACTGGATAGTTCCGCTCAGCTGGTTGCAGCTGACGCGACTGATAGCAGACGACGCGTTCAACGCCTTCAAGATCGTACTGCATTAATGCACAGCCGATTGCGAAATCGCTGGCATCACAGACCACATGAAATGGCCTGTCCTGATCGGCTATTGCTAGGACTGGGGATTGTACCAAGCTCTTCTTGATACCCTCAAAGGAGCGCTGACATTCAGCGTTCCAAAACCACCTCTCGTTCTTTTTCAACACACGAGAGAGGTGTACAGTCATCTCGGCGTAATTGCGTGAATACTTATGCAAATACGCCGCTAGCCCAAGGAATTTTCGAAGACCTTTGACATCGACCGGCACAGGCCAGTCGGTGATCGCCTTGATCTTTTCAGGATCAGGACGTACACCGTTCTTACCAACGATGCACCCAAGAAGTGGTATTTCGCTTGCTGCAAATATACACTTCTTGAGGTTAGCATACAATTGATGCTTTTGCATGATTGTAAAAACCTGTCGGACGTGGTACCTGTGAACCTCAACGTCCGACTTTCCATCCATAGCTCGACTATGGATGAATACGTCATCGAAATAACTCGGCGCGAATTCTCGTACTGGTCTCAACAGATGTGATACACATCTGTTGAACGTGGCAGGGCATTACTAAGCCCTTGTGGCATTACTAGCCATTTCCAGAGCATGCCGCTAGGCGTGCTAACTGCGGTATAGGGTATATCCCGTTCTCGCGTAAGGATTGGATAGAAGCCATCCATCAAATCCATGGACGAAAAGATGGTACTCTTTGACATACCATCAATGATTACGTCCTTCCTCGGTATCGGCTTCTGAGCCAGTACCGTTGCAGCGTTCAATTTGTTGAACGCGTGCACTATCCGCCACCCTCCTGTTGCTTTTCGCACACAGAAGGTCGGAGAGCTATGTGGGGAAGTTGATTCCATCACATGGCCCGCAGCTAAACGATCGGCAAAGAACTTGTCGATCGCAAGTACTTGTTCACGAGGCAGTGGCCACTGCTTCATGACACAGTACTTCGAGCCTGGTTTAAGCTCGACTTCGTGTCGAATACCTTTATCCTTCGGTACCTCGCACTGAACAATTTCAGGGAATACATCCTTGAATTCAACCAAATCTTCATAGAGAGGATTTTTCTTGAGCGATTCCCAGGATTGGGAGTCATATCGCTCAATTCGTGTCTTTTCATCTAGGACACTCTCGTCCATAGATGAACTACTGAGAACTCTCTCGTTCTCAGTAAACACTGTTGCTGACCTTATGTCGACTACACACTCGTCGTCAGCGACGAGAGCACAGATCTGCTTGACTTTGCCACTACGCAGATCACGCAGGAACATTTTATGTTCAAGAGTTAGCAACTGAGTGATCTCCGAAGTCAACTTCGGAGGCGCAATCAGATCAAGTGTGTAAGCGCCTACGCTTGATCCGTCATTGACTATGACATTCAATGTCTCTGTCATTTTCTGGGGACTTATTCCCTCAGGCATCGAAGGACTTATTCCTTCGTCTTCCCGGGGACTTATTCCCGCGGGTTTCGGGGAACTTATTTCCGCCGTATTTGTAATCTTGGGACTTATTCCCTTTACTTCCTCTAGATGGGGCTGCGCAACCACAGCGAGATCCTCTACGAAAGACTATCCAGTCGATCTAGGATTATCTTTTCGCTTAACCTGAGCGATCGATTGTTTCTCTTCTAGATGTTCCCCGCTACGGATACATCTTTGTCCCGGTCCACCCGACTTATTCGAGTGGTGGACCTTCGGCGCAGCCTGTGTTTCCTCACAGCCGCCGGAACTTTGCTCCGAAGTGTAACCGTTTGGTACACTAAGGCTTTGTGCAGTCGTACTAACGACCGTACCACAAGTGAGGCCATCGCACTCACTCGTAGTACATCCACACGCTTGTGGACGCTCCAAAACGTCCATCAGATGGCTATCTGATGAACAAGCGGCAGGCATCGTTACTGTTCGATGTTGCCAGTTTACTCGTGGTTCGTATCTTATGAGCCACGGTATTCCAAGGATGACATCAAATTTGTCATCCAAATCCGATACGATAAAGTCATCGTCATATTGGGTATCTTCTAGCGTATAGTGGATCTTCACTATACGCTTCATGACGGTTACGGATGCGCCTGTCGCAAGACGTACCGTCATCCTCGTAGGAGGTGTGTCATATTCACCGAACTTAAAGTGACCATCTTCTAGCGACTGGCGTCGCACAAAATTGTTGGACGCCCCACAATCGACTAGATCTCGAAGGAACAACTTATTTTTCACTCCGAGTTTCAAGGTAATGAGTGAGAGCTCATTACCTAGAGCAGGAACGCACAACGTTTGAGCGTTGGGAGCAACCTTCATCAAGAGGCCTACAAATTCTCTTGACGTTGCTAGACCAGTAGGGTGCTCCGCACCTACTGATCCTGTCCGTTTTTTGACGGTCCATCCCGTTGTTTAGTCTTTGCACCAACTGCGGACCCTCGTCCCTGCCCCTTTCTCATGGGTGGACGGTCACTACGCCTAGTGTTGCGAGACACTGGACGAGGGGCACTACACTCGTAAGCGCAGTGTCCTGTCTTTTGACATCTGTTGCATCTCTGCAACTTCTTGTAGCCTGTAGAGCGAACCTTCTCACTCTCTACATAACAGAGTTCCATCGGCTCTGGACTTCCGCTGTAATATCGTCTCGGTGGACGATATGATGTCGAGCTGGCGCGAGCCTGTCTCAGACTGAAGTCTTCCTGCTCCGCAATGGAAATGGCTTGTTCTAGTGAATCTAGTTCAAGTCGGAACAGGTGAGTCTTGACGGGACCATCCGCAAGACCCTGCATGAACACCGAAACCAACGTGTGTTCATCCACCGTATTGGAACTTATACAACTCGTGAGATGTCGTATATGTTGCGCGTAAGCGTGCACATCACGCTTACCTTGTCTGAGCTTCAAGAGTTCGGTTCGAGCCCTGAACTCAGCTCTAGGCGGTTCAAACGTTTGTCTGAGCCGCGACTTGAAGACTTCGAACGACCCAAACGCAAATGGGTCGTGCAACTTGAGCCCCAAAGCCCAAGTCTTGGCACGTCCTGCCAGATTTGACTGGGCAAATGCAACTTGCATATCCCCGTCGTCGATGCGACGCGCCCTTATGGCGTCATCCAATTTGACGAACCATCTCAAGAGGGAGTCTTCTTCGACCCCCCTATACTTGGAGATGTCAATCTTCAAGGTCTCGGGTCGACGCGAGTGCATCGACCCACCAGCAGCAGCCTGCTGCTGTCTCAACAGTTCAAACTTTTGAGCACCCTGTTCTATCAACAACTCTGATTGTTGAAATCCTTGTTGGTGAAGCAAGGCTACTTTCTCGCGTTCAGCGTCAAGTTCATTTCGAATGAACTTGGCGATAGTAGCATGCTGGGCATCTCTATTGAGAGCCTCTAGCATGACGCTAACAGCATGGATGCCCATGGTTGAACCCATTCGTTCAACCGCATCCCATTCGACATCGCTCGAATGGGAGTAGCCGTCACGCGTAGCGTGAAAGCTTTGGTTATCTTCATCATCTAACACATTCATGTTAGATGTGAAAGTGGTCCTTGGACGGACTATGTAACGGGGTGAATCGTTACATAACAATTTACAAGAAATTGTTAATAGAATATAACTATAAGAGTTAGATTCTCAGAATATTGTCATAAGGACGAATATTCTGTTGCACTTGCGAGTAGTTCCTAATTGGTTGATATAGGCCATTATATCAACCAACGAAGACGCGCCACGACAGACGCACGCAATGAGTGGTGAGCAGATAACTGATTTACACATTTGTATTTAGACATAGTTAGATGAAGATAAATAGTGATTTATTGCAGACATTAACTATGCTAAATACAGTTCTGCTTTTTACTTTAACCCAGTACTCGCTTCGTCTTACCGTCTTCCTCTGCACGTACGAGTGTACGTGAAGTTACGAGGCACCGCCTTATTCTGTTATCAGAATAAGTAGCTTGTACTGTCACCAGTACAAGCTTCAGGGTGCCCCGTTACACCTGGTAGCACTTCGTAGTCCGTCCAAGGACCGCGTTCACATCCAACATGAATATGTTGGATGAATGAAGATGACCAAAGCTTTCACGCTACGCGTGACGGCTACTCCCATTTGAGCGATGTCGAATGGGATGCGGTTGAACGAATGGGTTCAACCATGGGCATCCATGCTATTAGTAGTCATGCTAGAGGCTCTCAATAGAGATGCCCAGCATGCTACTATCGCCAAGTTCATTCGAAATGAACTTGACGCTGAACGAGAGAAAGTAGCCTTGCTTCACCAACAAGGTTCTCAACAAAGCAGAGTTGTTGATAGAACTGGGTGCTCAAAGTTTGACTGTTGATGATTAAAGACAGCAGCAGGCTGCTGCTGGTGGGTCGATGCACCCCGCGAGCCCCGAGACCTTGAAGATTGACATCTCCAAGTATAGGGTCGAAGAAGACTCCCTCTTGAGATGGTTCGTCAAATTGGATGATGCCATAAGGGCGCGTCGCATCGACGACGGGGATATGCAAGTTGCATTTGCCCAGTCAAATCTGGCAGGACGTGCCAAGACTTGGGCTTTGGGGCTCAAGTTGCACGACCCATTTGCGTTTGGGTCGTTCGAAGTCTTCAAGTCGCGGCTCGAACAAACGTTTGAACCGCCTAGAGCTGAGTTCAGGGCTCGAACCGAACTCTTGAAGCTCAGACAAGGTAAGCGTGATGTGCACGCTTACGCGCAACATATACGACATCTCACGAGTTGTATAAGTTCCAATAACGGTGGATGAACACACGTTGGTTTCGGTGTTCATGCAGGGTCTTGCGGATGGTCCCGTCAAGACTCACCTGTTCTGGACTTCGATTCACTAGAACAAGCCATTTCCCATGCGGAGCAGGAAGACTTCAGTCTGAGACAGGCTCGCGCCAGCTCGACATCATATCGTCCACCGAGACGATATTACAGCGGAAGTCCAGAGCCGATGGAACTCTGTTATGTAGAGAGTGAGAAGGTTCGCTCTACAGGCTACAAGGAAGTTGCAGAGATGCAACAGATGTCAAAAGACAGGACACTGCGCTTACGAGTGTAGTGCCCCCCAGTCTCTCGCAACACGTCCGAAGGCAGGACGCGCCACCCATGAGAAAGGGGCAGGGACGAGGGTCCGCAGTGTGGTGCAAAGACTAAACAACGGGATGGACCGTCAAAAAACGGACAGGATCAGTAGGTGCGGAGCACCCTACTGGTCTAGCAACGTCAAGAGAATTTGTAGGCCTCTTGATGAAGGTTGCTCCCAACGCTCAAACGTTGTGCGTTCCTGCTCTAGGTAATGAGCTCTCACTCATTACCTTGAAACTCAGAGTGACAAATAAGTTGTTCCTTCGAGGATCTAGTCGATTGTGGGGCGTCCAACAATTTTGTGCGACGCCAGTCGCTAGAAGATGGTCACTTTAAGGTTCGGTGAATATGACACCCCTCCTACGAGGATGACGGTACGTCTTGCGACAGGCGCATCCGTAACCGTCATGAAGCGTATAGTGAAGATCCACTATACGCTAGAAGGATACCAATATGACGATGACTTTATCGTATCGGATTTGGATGACAAATTTGATGTCATCCTTGGAATACCGTGGCTCATAAGATACGAACCACGAGTAAACTGGCAACATCGAACAGTAACGATGCCTGCCGCTTGTTCATCAGATAGCCATCTGATGGACGTTTTGGGAGCGTCCACAAGCGTGTGGATGTACTACGAGTGAGTGCGATGGCCTCACTTGTGGTACGGTCGTTAGTACGACTGCACAAAGCCTTAGTGTACCAAACGGTTACACTTCGGAGCAAAGTTCCGGCGGCTGTGAGGAAACACAGGCTGCGCCGAAGGTCCACCACTCGAATAAGTCGGGTGGACCGGGACAAAGATGTATCCGTAGCGGGGAACATCTAGAAGAGAAACAATCGATCGCTCAGGTTAAGCGAAACGATAATCCTAGATCGACTTGAGAGTCTTTCGTAGAGGATCTCGCTGTGGTTGCGCAACCCCAGCTAGAGGAAGTAAAGGGAATAAGTCCCAAGATTACAAATACGGCGGAAATAAGTTCCCCGAAACCCGCAAGAGTAAGTCCCCGGGAAGCCGAAGGAATAAGTCCTTCGAAGCCTGAGGGAATAAGTCCCCAGAAAATGACAGAGACATTGAATGTCATAGTCAATGACGGATCAAGCGTAGGCGCTTACACACTTGATCTGATTGCGCCTCCGAAGTTGACTTCGGAGATCACTCAGTTGCCAACGCTCGAACAAAAAAGGTTCTTGCGTGATCTGCGTAGTGGCAAAGTCAAGCAGATCTGCGTACACGTCGCTGACGACGAGTGTGTAGTCGACATAAGGTCAGCAACAGTGTTTACTGAGAACGAGAGAGTTCTCAGTAGTTCATCTATGGACGAGAGTGTCCTAGATGAAAAGACAC